GGACCCCAGATAAGTCTCCTAACCTCTCTGTACCTCAGTTTCCTCATTTGTAAAAGGTGGACTCAATAGCTTTAAATCCATGATCCTATTACACACTGGATTTAGAGTCAGGAAGACCTGACTTTGAATGGAGCTAGACGATTACTTGTCAGGGATGTTACAGAAGGGGTACAGCAGGTAGTGTCAACCAAATGACCTCTGAGAACCTGCCTAAAGAACTTCTGTGATTTAATTTGATTCAGTGAGAAGCAAAAAAAAATCTATTTATGTTTGACTTCAAGAGCATTTTTTGGACATTCTGTGAAATGGCAGAATGGCAGATCTGGGAGGGACCTTGGAGACTACCTAATCCAACCCCTTCATTTTATAAACAAGTAAACTGAGGCTCAAAAGAAGCAAAGTGACTTGCCCAAGGTCACACAGCAACAGAGCTGGGACAGAATGGGTGCTGAGAATTCCTGAATCCCAGTCTTTTCATGACACCCCAGTCCCACTGCCTATTGAAACCTTTTTTTTAGGTTTTTGTTTTATTTTTTTGCTTTTGTCTTGTTTTTTGTACCAGTTCTATCCCTCCTATTTTAACTGAAGAGGCTATAGAGAGGTCCATAATCCTTGCCAAGGCTAACTTCTTCCTGATGTGCCTTTTATTTATTTATTTGTTTGTTTGTTTGGTAAGCGATTGGGGTTCAGTGACTTGGCCAGTGTCACACAGCTAGTAAGTGTCAAGTGTTTGGTCTGAGGCTGGATTTGAACTCCGGTCCTCCTGACTTCAGAGCCAGTGCTGTATCTACTGCACCACCTAGTTGCCCTCCCCCATGTGCTTTTTAAACCATCCCTTCCCTGACTGCCTCACCAAAAAGCAAAAAAAAAAACAACACAAAAAATCCATCCTTTCCCACTCCAAGACCCCCCTCCATTGAACTCTACTACTCTCTCAAGAATCTGCTATTGCTCCCTTTCTCCTGACTCCATCCTTTCTATGAGCAAACTTGCTCAGGTTCCCTCACTTATTAAACCATCTGCCCTTCACCTTTTTACATTCTTGAGCTATTGTCTCCATCTCTATAACCTGTGCTTCTGTTTCCTCACTACTTACTTAGTCACCAGTGCCTTGAAATCTGAGTTCCACCTCTACCAGTCTACTAAAAATGCTCTCTCGAAAATCGCTAGTAACATTAACAAATTCAACGAACTTTTCTTGGTTCTCATCTTCCTTGCATTTGATACTACTGATGCCAATCTTTATTTTACTACACACACACACCCTTGCTATTCCTTTCTTCCTTGGCTTTGTTGACAGCATATTCTCAGGCCATTACTTCCAGGTATCTCTCCTTTTCCTCTTCCTAAAATGAATTTGGATATTTCCTAGGCTCTGTTCTTAGCTCTTTTCTCTCTCTCCCCTCTTTCCATTTTCAGTATTCTTTCTTATAGCTAACATTGTCACCCCCCCCCTTACTGATAACTCCAAAAAATTTATGTCTTCTAACTCGACCTTTCTCATTGGTCCCTGACCTACATTTCTACTGGACATCTCCATATAGATATTCCATTAGTTCCTAAAACACAACATACATAAAACTAAACTTTCTCTTAAAACCTGCCTTTCCTTCTGACTTCCTTATATCTGACACCAGATATACAATGACATCAAAGGTCAATCAACCATACACGTTTTAAACTTCTATTCCTCACCTTCCATATCCAGTCAATTTTCCGGTTCCTTTGATTTTTTCCTTCAAAATACCATATATGCCTTCCTTTCCTTTCTTTTATCCCCCACAAGACTGTCACATTTTTTAAATAAATATTTATTGATAAGTTTTGTTTTTACATTATTTACAATTCTCAATGTATCTCTTCTTACTTCTTGAGAGAAATCTCTTACAACAAAGAAATTTTTTAAAAAAACAGTTCAGCAAAACTCACATTGAAATAGTCTGGCAACATATTCAGGGCTCCACACCCATAGTTCTCCTACTCCAAAAATACATTCTTATATCACTTCTTTGGGAACATGCTTGGTCATTATAATTTCACAGCATAAGTTTTAATTACTTTGTTCTTGTCATTCTTGGCATTTAAATTATTATAGTCACTGTGTGTATTGTTTTCCTGCTTCTGCCTTTCTGGGCTGGGCCTGACTCAGGCCAGTCCCCTGGTAGTTTAAGTACAATATTGGAACAAAATGAGACACTAGTAGGTCATTCAACAGTTAAAAAAAAAGAGATTGCTCAGCCAAAGCAGAAGTGTATTCAACAAGGATCGTCACTGAAGACACTTCAAGCTGATTCGGCTAAAGGAAGCTCATTTGCCGGAGTTACCCCTTCATGAACTCAGCATATCCTCTGGAGCTCCTTATGGCTGCTTTGAACCCAGGCAAGAAAAAAGTATCCTCAGCAGCCCAAGCCTGTAGTTCTTTGAGTTAAGCAAGTGGACGGGAAGGTCTCAATGCCTTTTAAGGAAAAACCAGCCTTACTTGCATGAGGAGGAGGGGTTAGGATACTGTTCCTGCCACAGTTTGTTTCACTTTGCACCAGGTCACATATGTCTTCCTCTTTGCTCTCTACACACACACACACACACACACACACACACACACACACACACACACACACACACACACAAAAATCATGTTTCTTATGCACAGTAACATTCTACTAACATTATGTATCACAGCCTGTGGAGTCATTCCACATACAGTGGGTACTTTGTTTCTAGTTCTTTGCTACTACAAAAAAGTGCTGCCATAGATATTTGGATGCATATGGGTGGGACCTTTCTTTTTGTCATCAACCTCCCTGAGTATATACCTAACCTTTAACCCTATCAAAGGGCATAAACATTTTAGTCACTTTCTTTGCATAATTCCAGATTGCTTATGGTTGGACCAATTCAGAGCTCCACCAACAATGTGCCTTAGTGTCCCTATTTTTCCATAATCCTTCTAACATTGCCTATTCAGAATTTCTTTGGCTGTCTTCCAATTTGTTGGATGTGAGACAAAACTTCAGGGTTGTTTTGAGTTGCATTTCTCTTAGTGTTGGTGATTTGGAGAGTTTTTTCATGTGGTTGTTAACAAGTTGTGGGTGTTTTTTTTGCTGTTGGAGTTAAGGGACTTGCCCAGGGTCACACAGCTAGTAAGTGTTACGTGTCTGAGGCTGGATTTGAACTCAGGTCCTCCTGAATTCAGGGTCGTGCTCTATCCACAGCTGGCCCACCCCAGCAATTATTCTTAAGAGATGTGTTTATTTACATCCTTTTACTGTTTATCTCTTGAGGAATGAATTTTGGTCTTATAAATTTATATTATTTCTATTAGTTTCCTACATATATTGGATATCAAACCTTATCAGAGATATTTAGTAAATATTTTTTCCTAGTCATTTGTTCCTCTATATTCTAGTTGCATTAATTTTATTAATGCAAAACCCTTTCAGTTTCTTATCGTAGAAGTTATCTATCTTTTGAAATTGTTTCTCTCTCTTGTTTGATTAAGAATTCACCCCATTAGGGGCAGCTAGATGGTGAAGTGGATAGAGCCCTGGCCCTGAAGTCAGGAAGACCTGAGTTCAAATCCAGCATCAGACCAAACACTTGACACTTACTAGCTGTGTGACCCTGGGCAAGTCACTTAACCCCAATTGCCTAAAAAGGGGGAGAAAAGAATTCACCCCCTAACTGTTGCTGTAAAAGTCATGTGACCTTCCTATTCTAATTTTTTGTGGTATGTTCTTTAATATTCAGATCATATGGCCATTTATTATGATGAAATAATGTAAAATGTTGTTCTAAATCTAATTTGTGACAGATTTTTTTTTCATTTTTTCCTAGCAATTCTTGTCAAATAGGAAGTTCTTTTCTAAATAATTTGCATTTGGGTTTTTATCAAATGCCAGGCCGAATTGGATTATTGTTTATTCTTCATTGTCTAGTCTATTCCATTGACCTACTTTTTTATTTTTAATTAATACTAAATATTGATTACTGCTATATAATATAGTTTGTGTTATAGTCCCCTGCTTTCTCTCCTTTCTGTTTTCTACAGATAAAGCTCTCATTAATACCCACCTAGATCATTACAATATCTTCCCATTCCTATATCCTACTACTATCTTTAAACGTTAAAATCCATGTTATCCTTCACTACCAGTGCCACTTCCTCCATAAAACCTCCCTGATACCCCCCACCTCCAACCTGATCAGAAGTGAGCATCTGGTCCAGACCTGGTCGTACTTTGTATTTCTGTTCTACACTTGCCTACTTTGTATTATAATTATTTGTGTGTATAGCCTTTGCTTGTCTGTAAACTCATTGAGGACAGGGTCTTTGCTTACCTTATCTTCTTGGTTCTCACTGCCTTTACCTAACAGTTTTCAGCAGACAGAATGCAATCAGTATTTCATATTAAATTGAACTGACTCAGTTCTCCTTGGGAACCAGTCAATTGCTGTAAATTCTAAAGTAGTTTGTTGAGTATGAGGTATCAGGTCATTGCTGGCTGGACTCCTCCACTGGCAGCTCAGAACCAGATGGAATACATTGATGTATTTGAATGTTGGGTGTTTTCTTCTAGGCTCTTGACTTTAGTACCATTTGTACAACAAATTTTGGAAATCTGAGAGGTGATGGGAAAAGGGTAGATCCTCCAGCTGTGTTTTTGAGACAGATGTAATTTCCAACACTAGTTAAAGAGCCAGAGACATTTTTCTGTGTATTTTTTCAACAAGTATAAATAAAGAGAGGAAGGCAGAAAAGGGAATTAGGAACCCAAAGGTTGCTGTCTCTGTCTGTTTATCTAAATCAAGCCTCATCGTCCAACCTGTTATGCTCTTGAACTGTGTATGTGTAGAACAGATTCCACTTGGTGCCTCAACATTTGTACTTAGAGTGAGTGCCTTCAGTGCTTCTCCCCCAACAGTGACCAGCAATTGGTTGGGTTTCTTTTCCTCCCTTCAGCTTGTTGCAATATCTGCTCTGGCTTTTCTGTTTTGGACAGATCCTCCTGAATGGGTACCAGATGAAGCCTGTAGCTACTGCACAGCATGCAAAGCACCTTTCACTGTCATTCGGAGGAAGCACCACTGTAGGAGCTGTGGCAAGGTACTGAGCTCAAGAGGGACATGTATGTCACTGATGTCAGTGGGGAAGAGAGGCCAAAGGGCTATAAGTGCCCAAGCTTTGAAAACAGTGGGATTTCCACCTGGGAAGCTCTATTCCCTCAGATACCTAAATGTAGATTGAAGACAGCCTTTCAAGAGACTCTGAATAAGAGAACCTGAACAAAGTGTCAGGTGCCTCCTCTTAATTCCATGGCCAAGAGCCCTGCCAACACTGCCTAGGATTCATTTATTCCAATAGCCTGTACTACTGAGGACAGATTGGATTTTTGGCTATAAGACTACCATTTCAAAAAAAGAGAGCTGCTTTTAGAACTAGAAGTGATGAGACAATGAAATATAATAATTGAAATAGCAAAAGATCAAGATGGCTGCCACCAAGCTAAATTACACCAACAAGAAGCAAGCAAAGCAATTTCTTTTGAGGATATATGCATGTTACAGTAATCTGAACAGTCATTGTTTAGGGAGGAGAATTACTAAAAGCATTCTTCTAAAATTTCTTAGCCCAGGAAACCAAATATTGTCAGTGAGTTTTGAGTTCCCCATTATCAAGGTATGCTTAAGTGATTTATTGATTTTTCCATATTACTATAGAAGGATCCTATAGGAGGGTTGCATTACAAGGTAGTTTGCCTAAATTTTGGGTATATGAAATAGGCAGTGGAGCTAAGGAATAAGTTTAAGTTAATTTTTTAAAATATCAACTTATTTATTTACATGGCATCTCTGAGCAAAAATGTCCTAGTAAGTTCATTCCTTACCTATTCATGTCCATTTTGGCCACTTTCCAGAAATAAAACTTAAAAAGATGACTAGGAAAAATACAGTGAAGCCCACAAAGGGAGTTAACATTCCTTAATGGAAGCCCAGCTTAAAGGATCTTAGAGTGGGTGGCTGATGCGCAGAAAGTAAACCTGTGTCAACAAACCCCTCTCTTTGTGTGTTTCAGATTTTCTGTTCCCGCTGCTCTTCCCACTCTGCGCCGTTACCTCGTTATGGTCAGATGAAACCTGTCCGTGTTTGCACTCACTGTTACATGTTCCATGTCACGCCATTTTACAGTGACAAAGCTGGTATTTGACATATTACACTAGTGATCTATTTAATGGAGTCATACATGGACTAAAATTCTATGTGACTTAAGCCAAGAATTAACTGGAAAGAAGGCCCTTGTCAGGAACATGTAGGCTTTAAGCATCCATCATAATATATTTTGTACAGATGGTTTTTATTGCATTTTCCTAAGCTGCTAAAGGGAACCATGGGGAGCCTATAGCACTGGGGCTGCAATAGTCTTCCACACATTTCTAACATGAACATGATGATGCCATATGATATGGGAGACACACACTTACTGAAAAGAGAGGGGGTCCCTGTTTAAGCTACCAAGGCTTGCATTGCTGCCCGTCTCCCAAACACACATTTGTGTCCTCCTTATAGTAAACCAATTCCAAACTGCTCACTGGCTTCTGACAGACGTTTTCTTCCTTTTGCTGGCTAGCCTTTTTAGTCAATACACTCTGGCCAAACGTTACCAGATTCACACGGGATATTTACAGAGGCAAAGTTATCTTTGAAGCAAAGAGGAAGCTCTTGAGTTTCCAGAGCTGTTCCTTGCTGTTGCCTTTTGTTTGGGAATCATAGCAATAACTCTGATGCTCTACTCTTTTATTATTACCTTGTTTTGCATGGGGTGGGTATTTTTGAGGATTCATTATATCTGATACCATTTCTTCCACCTCTTGGTTGTTTGAAAAAATGAGAATAAATATGAGAGTTTTATTTATATCATTAATAACAATAATAAAGAATAAATGCCAAGGGCATTGGTAATTGGGGTGAAAGTTCAGTACAAAATACTTCTTTTTATTTTTGGAAGTTTTGCAAAACAAGGGCACTGTTATATGTGGGGCTGTTTATGAAACCAAAAATATTTAAAAGACAGATATTCAGACTGTCCATTTTTATTCAAAAAGGCCTAAACATTTACTTACACTTTAGGGATGCAAAACCTGCAATATATCATTTATGGCATAATTTTATAAATCATTTCTTAGTCACTTATTTTTCAATCAGATGCAGGCCTGTCTTAGGAGAATGTGTTTAAACTAGTAGGAAAATAACTTGTTGTCCAAAGGGGAAAATACACACAGTAAGTGATTTTTTGTACAGTAAGAGGTTTATTTTCCAAAGTATCTGCCCTAAGTTTACCTACCAGTAGAGTGAAGAATTTGCCTTTACCAGACTCCAGATTTTGCTTTCTTCGACATCCACACTGACATGCAGTATTTCATCACAAAAGACGCGGAGAGTTGACAAGAAAACTGCGTGTTCTTTCCTTCAGAAAAGGATCTTACTCGGCAAGGCAGACAACGCTGGTCCCTTTCCACGGTTTTCTGCCCCATGCAAACTGATCAGATAAGATTCCCAGGTTTTCTTGGTTTCTTAGTTCTGTTGTCATTTGTATAACATGGAACCCGCATGGCGTCAGGCATAAGAAATGCACTCGAGTGCTCAGTGCAGTGTTAGTCATGTTATCATGTCTGCTCGTGGATTTCATTTTGTTTCCGTTTTGTACTTTCCCTTACCCAGTCCTAAAGAGGGGATCTCAGTGATGGCCCCAGTTTTTTTGGCTCAGCATGATGCAGGTCTCTCATGCCAACAGGAAAACTGAGGAGTATGGTACCAAACAGTGATACCTATTCAGGCTTCAATCTCAGGCTTCACATTGCAATGATTATTGCAGTTTTATTTTTGAGAAATGACAAATCTAATGCTTCTTTTATAGGATTAATAAATAAATAAAATTTAACTGTGACATTAACATGCACAAAAGTTCCTTCTTCTGTAAAAAAAAAAAGTCTTATTTGATGGAGTGAATCTTATTTATTCCAGCTTATTTTTATTCTGTAAATGCTGTAATTCAAAATCATTTACATATATATGTACATATATATATATGGGTCTCAGACACTATAGTTTCTTATGTAAATACAGACTCCTATTTCTTTTACTGAAAAGCACAATGATTCTATATCAGTACTAATATGCATTTGTCTCAGAGAAGACTTTGATCTTATGATCATCTCTTCAGATAATTAAAAGGTCAGGACTTTCTACTTCCATGTGCTGGGTGGCTGTTTCCTTTTGTGTTGCTTTACAAGGAGAAAAGTGACATCTTACCAAACAAGTTGGTTTTAATCCCTCAATCCACACATGAAGCAGTAAGGAGCAAGTATATCCCTTTAAGGCACAATTTTTGGCCATTTGTGCAATAATAATCACACATCTGCTATCTCTGCAAAACTGTCAGAAGACTTTGATCCAGGAACTAGAACAAACCATAGAACCAATCCCATGAATAACTTTGCTCAGATTTCAGATGGGCCTCAGTCCTTCCTGCTTGGACATGACATGGCACACTCTGTGCTACTTATCGACTCCATGGCAGTTGTGAGTGTGAGGGCGAGAACAAACTGTCAGATGTCTGTAAGCCCATCTTGGACCACCTGGTGTCTCATTACTGGTCTTCTGTGGTCACGGAGACTAGAGGAGCAACGATGGAGATTATGCGGAGTTGAGACACGGAGACAGAGCCCACCCTGGTGAGTTTTTAGTTGGCACATCTGGAAAGGTAGAAAGTGTGATGCTCCTTCCTCATCCCTCTGGCAGTCAGTTTCAAGGAAGAATGAAAACAAAGTAAGTGTGGTACACCTGTGCACTCATGTGTGTTTAAGGAAAATTTGGGGCACCAAGTTTTGGGGTGTTTATTTAAATAAAAACACTTATCTCATAAGGACACAGTAAGGAAGAAAGGGGCTAGAGGAAGTAATGAACTGTGCCCCAAAATATATTTCCCAAAAGAAAGCCCAAAATGTCAACCAATGAAAATAAACTATTTTCTTCCCTTGCCTAACAAGCTTCTTTATACATAACAATGTGTGCATATTTTTTTCTGATGGTTTTTATGCCAGCCACAAACCCTCTCCTTTGAAAACTGACACTTTAATTTCCCCTAAAGAAGATAAGGCCTTCTAATGCCAATCAGCCTTTGGCTGTGGGAAGATGGAGTGTGAGCCAATATCAATAATGTGAACTTTGAAAATAGGTAGAAGCCAGAGCTCCTTCTGCCTTGCTGCTCCAGGCATTCAGTACATTCAGTAAACAGCCCTCCACAAACCGAGGTCTCAGGCTGCCATCACACAAAGACACAGGACAACAATCTTGATTCTTTCCCTCACTGAATCTATCCATTCTTTCCATTATTACTCAAGCTGTCTCTCTCTCAAGCAGTTCTATGTGGGACCTCTGAACCTTCTTTGCCTCAAATGTACATTTCTTAATCAAGTTATGTCAGTTTCCCATTATACCAGATCCCGGCATGTTAATAAGCACATTTAACATTTGTTTATGGCCTTCTGATAAACCCAATTGTTTACTCTGCAGTAGACTGGTTATCTGATTCCAGCCAGAGGTAGATCAAAGAAGAAGGGATCTTTGCCACCCTTTCTCCAACCTTCCCTGTGTCTTCAGAATCCCTCACTGTATCCCTCAAGATTGTAGGGTCCCACAGAGTGGGGAAAGTCAGAAAGGAATTAGTATCTAACTCACATCCAATTCAAGCTAGTGACCTGACAAAAGAGGTCTGAGACATTCTGAAACTATGTTTTTTGAATGCCCTGTCGGGTATGGCTAGGCAGCAACCAACCAACCCCCAAATTTCATTAAAGTTTTTTAAGCAGAGGGATGATGTGATCAGAGCTATGATTTAGGGATGTTAATCTGGAAATGGTATGGCAATAAACTGGGGGGAGAAAAGGCCAAAATGACTAACTGGTTATTGTAATACTTCAAACAAGAAGTAATGAAACCCTGGAGCAAAGTTTTAGCACTTGAAATAGAGGACATTTTAAAGGCAGAATGGACAGTCTTGGCAATTAATTGGTTGTGAAAGGAGGGGCTGAGATCAAAAATGTTTTGGAGTTAGAGTACCTGAGTTCAAATCCTGGATCTGCTGCTTATGACTTATGTGATCTTGGGTGACACTTAACCTCACTGATGAGAGAGAGTTGAAATAGATCAGGGTGGGGAACCCTTCAGGTTCTAAATCCATGACCCTATAACGCAAGTGTTTTGAATCTGAGTGACTAGGACAATGGTGATGCCATTACCAGAAATAGGGAAGTCATGGAAAGGAGAAATTTTGGGAAGAAAGATGATGAACTTAAAGGGGATAGAGGTTGGACTGGAATTTTAAATATTTTGGGCAGAGGTGGTAGAATTGAAGCCATTAGGAAAGAATGAGATTGATGAGAGAGTATATAAAGATAAAGAGAATAAGGATGGAACTGCAGGAAATGCTTATGTATCAAAGACATGTGGAGGAAAAGAAGACAAGAAAATAGAACCCAAAGGTAGGGAAAGAATAAGAAGGTCTTACCACAGGCAAATATGAAGTGTACTGTTTTTAGAACCTCCCCAGATCAGAATATAATGCTCCTGAAGGAGAAGGCTGAAGGCACATTATGTCCCTTAGCAGTGCTGACTGTTAGGAAAGTCATGGTTACCAAACCCCAGCCCACTGTTTTCCAGAAAGTACCAACAGACGGTACTCTGGGCCATTGCAGGCTTGGTCAAGAATATTCCACAGCTACAATAAGCACGAGGCATTCCTTTGAAAGACATGGGTAAGTTTATTCCATGTTTTTCCTGGGCAGATTAGATTAATCACCCCCAGCAGCCAATGGGCCACCACATCCTATGGTTTCTACCCTTGTTAACATCTCTCTCTTCCAGCTTCAAGTCTCTCCCGTTCTAGTGTATCTTCCCCTCCTCAGTCAAAGTGATCTTCCTAAAGTGCTTATCTGACCATGTTAAACACATCCTACCCCCATTCAGTCAATTCCAGTGGCTTCCTGTGGCCTCCAGGATCAAATAGAAAATCCTCTGTTTGGCTTATAAAAGTCCTAATAACCCAGCCACTTTTCTAATCTTCTTATACCTTAACTCCTCCCCAAACATACTGTACAGTCCAGTGACACTGGCCTTCTTGTTCCTCCTTTCACATGACACTCCATCTTCCAACTCCAGGCATTTTCGCTAGCCGTCCCCCAAGCCTGGAAATGTCCTTCGCCCCATCACCTCCTAGCTTCCTTCCAATCCCAACTAAGGTCCTGTTGTCTTCAATCTTTGCCAGTCTTTCTAAATGACAGTTCTTCCCTCCGTTAATTATCTCCAATTTACCACGTATATATCTTGTTTCTACTTAGTTGTTTGCATATTGCCTCCCCCATTATACCATAAACTCCTTGAGAGCAGGGACTGTCTTTTCCCTTTCTTTGTGTCCTTAGCACCTAGCACAGTACACATTACATATTATACACTACACAATAATATTAAGCACAGAGGTACTTAATAAATGCTAGTCGACTGATGGGCGAGGGCTCTCCCTATTCCTGTTTAATCCTAAAAGAAAAGTTTAGCTTTTTTCCAATTGATTAAGTCAGTTACTCTAAGACAGTAAAACAAGGCATGTTGACATCATCAGGGAACAAGCTAGTTTTATAAATCAAAGGTGGCAAGAGAGGAAATATTTACTTTGTGGCTATCATTGACCTTTGTTTCAGTAGAGTTGAGGCTGTCCCCTCAACTTAGCCACCTACCTTATCTTAGTGTCCTTCCCCTATCTATCCCTATGTTCTGTTCTCTCCCAGCTAGCTGAAAACGTCAGAAAATGACCTAATAATAGCTCATCCCTGAGTAAGTATTGTCAAAACCAGGAATGCTTGTATTTTCACTATCTGAACTTCAAAACTACAAACAGCAACAACAACAATAATTGGTTTCTTTGACCTAGACACTTTTCCCACCAAGGAAGATCTTGTCCCCACCACACTAGTAAATGGTCTTCACAAATAGCCAAGACTTGGCCTGGCCATAACAAATCACCACTTAATAGTGAACTTTCAGGTGATGAGTCTTCAACTTGACAAACCTTTAGAATATGGAAGAAGGAACTACATAACAGTGTAAGAAACCTCTGAGGTCCACCTCCCACCTGAAACAGGAATCCCCTCTTAATGGTGAAATCTCAGGCCCTGTGACATGCCGGGGATGGAGACATTTAGCTAATATTGAATACCAACCATAAGAGGTGTTCTAAGTGTTTGTAAAAATATAAAATCTATTTCCAAATAAACATGCCAACGACGTCCTTCACCCAAAGCAATGGTTTAAACACTGCTCATCAGAAATTGCTCATTTATAACCAAATGAGTCTACAAGTGATGTTGACTCATTTCATCAAGGAGAGCAGAACTCTCATGCTTCCCACCCACCCCTCTGGAAAACACAAAGCTCCCATTTCCGGGGCCCCAATGAGGGTCTCTTCTCCTTAGGCACTACCCTCATTTGCACCCTCTCCTCTTTCTTTCCTCCTGTCATGTTTTCCTCCTCATCCTACTGGCACAAGTTACATTGTGGAGCTGGAAAAGACCCTCCATCTCACCTAAAGCCCTCGTTGTTTGGGTCCCAGGATCCTAGCTCTAGAGCTAGAAGAGATCTCAGAGGCAGCTTAGTCCAACCCCTTTGTATGCAAATGAGAAAACTGAGTCCCAGAGAAATCAAATTACTTGTCCACAGCTACACAAGTGAAAAGCTGCAGGGTAATGGTTCAGACCCAACTTCACTAGGCCTTATTGCTTCCTCTGACTCACAGTCCAAGATCTAGAGCTAGAGGGGGCCTCCAAGGAAATCTAGGGAGGGGAACCTCATAAGCTTGTGTATAAGGCTATCCTAAGCTATCACCTCACCCTGTGAGGAGGGATCCACATCAGTCAGTCTACAAGCATTTACCAGGCATCCGCTATGTGCCAGGTGCTGTGTTCACGTCCTGAGGATACAAAGAAAGGCAAAAAACAGTCCCTGCTGTCAGTATGAGATTGGTTGGAGTTTTTTGTGTGGTTTGGTTTGGGTTTTTTTCTGAACAGTGGTGTTACCTTAGGAGATGGCTGCCACACTCCTATCGTTCTGATGCACATGATTGGCCCAAGGCAAGGGGGTGAACATGAACCACTGGGATAGGACTCTTTGTACCTTCTAGAATTCACAACTGCTGTGTCAGCCC